GGGGGAGGGGATTTGGGGGGATTTGGGGAAACTGAGGCAGGTTTGGGGTGGGGGAGGGGATTTGGGGCATTTTTGTGGAATTTTTTTGGGAGATTTTTGGGTCATTTTGGGTGACTTTTGGGTAAATTTTGGCTGAATTTTGGGTGAATTTTGGCTGAATTTTGGGGTGAATTTTGGCCATTTTTGGTGTGAATTTGGGGTGAATTTTGGCTGAATTTTGGTAAATTTTGGGTGAATTTTGGGCTGAATTTTGGCTGAATTTTGGCTGAATTTTGGGTGAATTTTGGCTGAATTTTGGGATGAATTTTGGTGAATTTTGGTGAATTTTGGGTGAATTTGGGTGAATTTTGGCTGAATTTTGGGTGAATTTTGGCTGAATTTTGGGATGAATTTTGGCTGAATTTTGGTGAATTTTGGGTGAATTTGGGTGAATTTTGGCTGAATTTTGGTGAATTTTGGGTGAATTTTGGGTGAATTTTGGCTGAATTTTGGCTGAATTTTGGTGAATTTTGGGTGAATTTTGGGGTGAATTTTGGCCATTTTTGGGGTGAATTTTGGTGAATTTTGGGTGAATTTTGGGGTGAATTCTGGCCATTTTGGGGCTGAATTTTGGTGAATTTTGGGTGAATTTTGGCCATTTTTGGGTCATTTTGGGTGCCTTTTCTCCAGGGCCGGGCGGGGGCAAATCCCGGAGCCGGACTCGGACTCGGACTCGGAGCCGGAACCGGAACCGGAACCGGAACCGGAAGCGGAAGCGGAACCGGAAGGGGGGGGAGGGGCCCCGGAGGCCTCCGGAGGTGGGGGCGGGGCTTAAAGGGGCGGGGCTTGAGGGGGAAGGGGCGGGGCTTAAAAGGACCACATTTAAATAATGGGGCGGGGCTTAAACAAAGGGGAGGGGCTTAATGTAACATAATTTAAATAAAGGGGAGGGGCTTAAAGGGATTTAATTTAAATAAAGGGGAGGGGCTTAAATAAAGGGGCGGGGCTTAAAGGGGGCCGAATTTAAATAAAGGGGAGGGGCTTAAATAAATGGGAGGGGCTTAAAGGTATCTAATTTAAATAAGGGGAGGGGCTTAAATGGGCCAGGTTTTAATAAAGGGGAGGGGCTTAAATAAAGGGGAGGGGCTTAAAGGGGTCGAATTTAAATAAAGGGGAGGGGCTTAAACAAAAGGAAGGGGCTAAAGGGATCTAATTTAAATAAGGGGAGGGGTTTAAATAAAGGGGAGGGGTTAAAGGGGCCTAATTTAAATAAGGGGAGGGGCTTAAATGGGCCTAATTTGAATAAAGGGGAGGGGTTTAAATAAAGGGGAGGGGCTTAAAGGGACCTAATTTAAATAAATGGGAGGGCCTTAAAGGGACCTAATTTAAATAAAGGGGAGGGGCTTAAGGGACCAAATTTAAATAAAGGG